AGCCAGTGTAAGGCAGCCAGAACAGGAGTAATGTGGTCCCTTTTCCTAACTCTGGTTAGTACACGAGCCGCAGCATTTTGAATCAGCTGAAGCCACTTGACTGACTTCTTGGTACACCCTGATAATAAAGAGTTACAATAATCCAGCCTTGAAGTAACAAATGCATGGACTAGTTTCTCTGCATCGTTTTGAGGCAAGATATGCCTGATTTTTGCAATGTTACGTAGATGGAAGTAGGCGGTCCTTGAGATTGATTTTATGTAGGCGTTAAAGGATAAATCCTGATCAAATATAACACCAAGATTCCTTACAGTCTCACTGGAGGCCAAATTAATGCCATCCATAGTTAGTATATCTTTAGTTAATTTGTTTCGTAGATTCTTCGGGCCAAGTACAATAACTTCAGTTTTGGTCGTGTTTAACATCAAAAAGTTTAAGGTCATCCACGTTTTTAAGTCCTTAAGGCAGTCTTGAATTGTATTTAGATGATTAATTTCATCAGGCTTGATTGATAAATATAGTTGAGTATCATCCGCATAACAATGAAAGTTTACAGAATGATTCCTTATAATATTGCCTAACGGAAGCATATATAATGTGAACAAAATAGGTCCGAGCACTGAGCCCTGTGGCACTCCATGGCTAACTTTGGTTTGCGTGGAAGATTCATCATTGACACGTACAAACTGAGAGCGTTCAGATAGATAGGACCTAAACCAGTCTAAAGCAGTTCCCTGTATGCCAACTAAGTGCTCTAGTCTTTGCAATAAGATATCATGGTCGATAGTATCAAATGCAGCACTGAGATCGAGCAAAACAAGAATAGAGACACGTCCCTTGTCAGAGGCTATTAGAATGTCATTTGTGACTTTAACCAGAGCTGTCTCTGTGCTATGATGTGTTCTAAAGCCAGACTGAACATCTTCAAATAAATCATTGTTTTTTAAGTAATCACACAACTGTTTTGCGACCGCTTTCTCAAGAATGTTTGAGAGGAACGGAAGATTAGAAATAGGTCTATAGTTGGCTAAAACCTCTGGATCGAGGTTGTGCTTTTTAAGAAGCGGTTTTATCACTGCTACTTTGAATGATTGTGGAACATAGCCTGATAATAAAGACATATTCATAATATTTAATAAAGAAGTGCTAATTAATGGAAAAACTTCCTTCAACAGCTTAGTTGGAATTGGGTCTAACATACACGTTGATGGTTTAGAAGAGAGAATCATTGAATTTAATTGTTCAAGGTTTATGGCTGAAAAGCATTCTAGTTTACTATCTAGTGTAATATTAGAACTTACGTTTCCGGGAGCTGTTGATAACACTATACTGGTCAAAGGCAAGAGGTCATTCATTTTGTTTCTAAGAGTAACAATTTTATGGTTAAAAAAGCACATAAAATCATTACTACTGAGTGCTATGGGAATAGAAGGCTCAATCGAGCTGTGGCTCTCTGTCAGCCTGGCTACAGTGCTGAAAAGAAATCTTGCATTATTCTTATTCTCATCTATTAATGAAGAGTAGTAGGCTGCTCTCGCTTTACGCAGTGCTTTCTTATATTCATTGAGAGTAATATGCCAAATTAAACGAGATTCTTCAAGTTTAGTAGAACGCCATATCCTTTCAAGTTGTCTCGACTTTTGCTTTATTTTGCGGGTTTGGGCATTATGCCATGGAGCTAATCTATGTTGTTTTATTTTCTTCTTTTTCAAAGGAGCAACAGAGTCTAATTTTATTCGCAGCGCATCTGTAGCACTATCAACAACATGATCAATTTGGGGTGGTGTACATTTTGTATACGTTTCCTCCCTTACATGCAGACATGCTATCGAGTTAAGTATTGGTGGAATCTCTTCCTTAAATGTGGCTATAGCACTAACAGATAGGTTTCTGCTGCAGGAGCTTTTGACTAATGCTTTGTAGTCTCGTAACAGTACTTCAAAAGTTACTAAGAAATGGTCGGATAAAGCAGGATTATGCTTTTCACACTCAGTCACACACACTGTCACACACACACACACACACACACACACACACACACACACACACACACACACACACACACACTGTCACACACACACACACACACACACAGTCACACACACACAGTCACACACACACACACACACACACACACACACACACTCAGTCACACACACACACACACACACACACACACACACACACACACTCAGTCACACACACTGTCACACACACACACACACACACAGTCACACACACACACTCAGTCACACACACACACACACACACACACACACACACACACACACACACACAGTCATACACACAAACACAGTCACACACACACACTCAGTCACACACACTGTCACACACACACACAGTCACACACACACACACACACACACACACACACACACACACTCAGTCACACACACAGTCACACACACACACACACACACACACACACACACACACACACACACACACACACACACACACACTGTCACACAGACACACACACACACACACACACACACACACACACTGTCACACACACACTGTCACACACACACACACACACACACACACACACACACTGTCACACACACTGTCACACACACACACAGTCACACACACACTGTCACACACACACACACACACACTGTCACACACACACACCACACACACACACACACTGTCACACACACACACTGTCACACACACACACACACACACACTGTCACACACACACACACACACACACACACACACACTGTCACACACACACTTTTAGTAAAAGTAGATTAGCGCAATAGTCTTTTCATAATGAGGTCATTGTGCTGCAGAACAAAGGCTGCTCTCATTGGTCGGCTGCGGGCGGACAGCCAATCAGAGAGCAGGAACACACAGTCATATTATTTTATATAAAATACAGAAAAAGGATCAAAAGAGAACCTTAAAAGTAAATGTATCAATAAATATAACTAAATAAATAGGTTATTAAATTCTACATAATTATAACAATAATACATTTGAAGTACATTAAAAAACATCCTTAAAATAAATGCTATTTAAATAAAATAAGTAGTTTTTATGGATAAAAAAAGAAATTAATTATTCTAAAAACCCAGGAATCAGTTTTTAATTCTGTTCCATCTTTATTTAGAAAGAGAATAACTCCCGACTGATTGGAAATAAACTCAAATAAACACGTGAATAAATAAAAGTCATTACTTAATGATTGAAGCCAAATTATTATAAAGATGAAGGAAAGTCAAATCAGACAGAAAATAGATTTAGATTTAAACCTCCATTTCCATTAAAAAGGGCTTTTAATGAAATACAAATCACTTATTTCAGATTTCATATATTTTCATCTTAAAAGCATCAAAACAAGCTTTTAATTCATACGAATGTAAAGTGTTGTTGTTTTAAATCAAGTTGAGCAGCAGCTCTACAGGGTAAAATATGAACTAACAGAGATCACCCTGAAACGCCCCCGCCTCATCACCGACGCAGTCCTTTAATATATTACACCTTTTCTGACGGGTCACGTCTAAATATGCTAATGAGGCGTTATGTCATGCTAATGCTAATGCTAATAGGAGTTAGCGCTAGTGATGAGTTACGGAAGATAGTCTCAAGATTACAAAACAAGAGTTGTCTTAAGAGCTTCAAGTGGAAACGTTTTACTGACTTAAACTCGTAGATATGGCACCGGCAGTCACTTGTAGTCTGCCTCCTGAAAGCCGGGGTAAGTCGTAGTTCAGCCGTAGTTTCAGTTGTTGATTCAGTCTCAGTTCAGTCGCAGTTCAGTCGCAGTTCAGCCGCAGTTCAGTCGTAGTTCAGCCGCATTTCAGCCGCAGTTCAGTCGCAGTTCAGCCGCAGTTCAGTCGTAGTTCAGCCGCAGTTCAGTCGTAGTTCAGTCGCAGTTCAGTCGTAGTTCAGCCGCAGTTCAGTTGCAGTTCAGCCGCAGTTCAGTCGCAGTTCAGCCGCAGTTCAGCCGCAGTTCAGCCGCAGTTCAGCGGCAGTTCAGTCGCAGTTCAGCCGCAGTTCAGCCGCAGTTCAGCCGCAGTTCAGTCGCAGTTCAGCCGCAGTTCAGCCGCAGTTCAGTCGCAGTTCAGCCGCAGTTCAGTCGCAGTTCAGCCGCAGTTCAGTCGCAGTTCAGCCGCAGTTCAGCCGTAGTTCAGCCGTAGTTTCAGTTGTAGATCAGCCGCAGTTCAGTCGCAGTTCAGTCGCAGTTCAGCCGCCGTTCAGCCGCCGTTCAGTCGTAGTTCAGCCGCAGTTCAGCCGTAGTTCAGTCGTAGTTCAGCCGCAGTTCAGTCGTAGTTCAGCCGCAGTTCAGTCGTAGTTCAGCCGCAGTTCAGCCGCAGTTCAGCCGCAGTTCAGTCGTAGTTCAGTCGTAGTTCAGCCGCAGTTCAGTCGTAGTTCAGCCGCAGTTCAGTCGCAGTTCAGCCATAGTTTCAGCCGCAGTTCAGTCGTAGTTCAGCCGCAGTTCAGTCGCCGTTCAGTTGTAGTTCAGCAGCAGTTAATCCGTAGTTTCAGCCGCAGTTCAGCCGTAGTTTCAGTTGTAGATCAGCCGTAGTTCGGCCGCAGTTCAGTTGTAGTTCAGCCGCAGTTCGGCCGCAGTTCAGTTGTAGTTCAGCCGCAGTTCGGCCGCAGTTCATTTGTAGTTCAGCCGCAGTTCAGCTGCCGTTCAGTCGTAGTTCAGCCGCAGTTCAGCCGTAGTTCAGTCGTAGTTCAGCCGCAGTTCAGTCGTAGTTCAGCCGCAGTTCAGTCGTAGTTCAGCCGCAGTTCAGCCGCAGTTCAGTCGTAGTTCAGTCGTAGTTCAGCCGCAGTTCAGTCGTAGTTCAGCCGCAGTTCAGTCGCAGTTCAGCCATAGTTTCAGCCGCAGTTCAGTCGTAGTTCAGCCGCAGTTCAGTCGCCGTTCAGTTGTAGTTCAGCAGCAGTCCAGCAGCAGTTCAGCAGCAGTTCATCCGTAGTTTCAGCCGCAGTTCAGCCGTAGTTTCAGTTGTAGATCAGCCGTAGTTCGGCCGCAGTTCAGTTGTAGTTCAGCCGCAGTTCGGCCGCAGTTCAGTTGTAGTTCAGCCGCAGTTCGGCCGCAGTTCAGTTGTAGTTCAGCCGCAGTTCAATTGTGGTTTCAGTCGGTGGTCAGTCGTGTTCCGACCTCCTGAAAGCTGTAGTTCAGACCCTCTCTGTCCTCCTGACGGGGGCCCCTGGGGGGTGGGGAGCCCCTCGGGGGTCTGTCTCCGGTGCGCCCCCCCTCTGACGGTAACAGGTAGCTATGAGTAGGGCTCCGGCTCCCAGGTGCATCCCAGCCGCCACCCAGCCACTGTACAGCGCCCCTCCCTTCTCCCAGCGGGGGGCCACGGGGGGCAGTGAGGGGTCGAACCGGCTCAGGAAAGCAAGGCGGGCAACGTGAGACACCGGGACCAGAACCAGGAGCCCTGCCACCAGGCTGAGGGCCCCCCCAACACCCAGCAGGACCCTCTTCTGACGGGACCCCCAGCTGTGAACCACTTGTAGTCCGGGGGCCGTCAGCAGCAGAGCCAGCAGACTGAAGCCCAGCGAGGCCCCTGTGAGGACCCGGGCCCACAGCAGGTGGGGGGGCAGGGCCAGGAGCCCGGGGTGCGGCCGGCACTGCAGGGGCCCCCCGTTGTGAACCACACAGCCCCCCCACAGAGACAGGTCAAACCTCTCAGCTGGCAGCAGGTCGGTGGCCAGAGAGAGCCAGGGGGCCAATAGGGAGGTGAGAGAGAGCAGAGAGGCCCCCAGGAGCAGGAGGAAACCCCACAGGTCAGGAGAGAACACCCCCACAACGTCCAGCTGCATGGTACGATCCGTCAGGAGTCAGAGAGTCAGAGAGAGAGGACGGGAGGGCTTATAATGGAGGGAGGGGGGAGAGGAGGAGCTGTAGGGTGGCTCAGGAGGGACAAGAATACGTCTGAGAGAGGGAGGATTTAATGTGGGACACACAGAATAATAATGAATGAATTCAATGGTTAGGTTAGTAGTTGAAAGGATAGCGTAGGGGGCAATGAAACAATAAACAGCTAAACAAACAAAGACCATGGTTTATTAGGGAGCACTACAACAGGTGCACTGACACCTGTCACATCAAAGGGATTTAGGGGCGGGACTAAGTCACTAATCAAACTCTATCATTTCAACTACGGAGGAACAATGAGAAATACATACAACAAAAAGGTCATTGAATAATAGAATATAAAAAGGTTACAAAAATATACAAAAATGTATAAATTAAGGTAAAAAATAAATGACGATTTATATAATGGTATAAAAATGATAAAAACTGTATTATTGGCCGTTCACCCCCCGGTACAGGTCCAGACTCCCCCAGCTGGTGTGATAACAAAGCCTCATTGAGCGTCTGCTCACAGGAAGTCCTCCAGGAAGTGAAGCTTTGTTGCAGCCTCTTAGTAACCGAGCCCCCCCAACCCCGTTTAACAAGACCTCCCTTTGTTTATCTAACGAGGAAAACAGAAAGGCGTTGGTGAGGTTTCCACATCCAGGAACATGATGCTAAAACACTTTTAATATAGAGCAGAAAGTATGAAAACAGTTAGAAAAAAACATGGTCCTCACAAAGGTAGTCCAACAAGAATAAACTGTACAGGAACACAGCTGTACAGGAACACACACACAGTGCTCGAGAAATCATTTTAATATTTTTTATTATTTTTAAAAACATGCACAACCACAATCACAGAGAGATTGTCACACACACACGTTTTCAGCTCCGAGTGTGACTGAGGTCATGAGGTACGGAGGTCAAACAGTCACACACACACACACACACACACACACACACACACACACACACACACACACACACACACACACACACACACACACACACACACACACACACACACACACACACACACACACACAGTCTCATCCTCTGTCATACAAAATAAATAATGTGTTTATAATACGGACAGTAAACATGTGTTGTACGTGTGACGCGCTCCACTCAGTTTAACATGTTTTTTATTTATTTCCTCAAAAAGCTGAGTCTGGGTTTAAAGAGCATTATTTAAAATCAGTCCCTTTAGGGAACTAATGAACAGGTTGGTGGCACACCTCGTTTAATACTATCAGCCCCTTTAGGGAACTAATGAGCAGGTTGGTGGCACACCTCGTTTAATACTATCAGTCCCTTTAGGGAACTAATGAGCAGGTTGGTGGCACACCTCGTTTAATACTATCAGTCCCTTTAGGGAACTAATGAGCAGGTTGGTGGCACACCTCGTTTAATACTATCAGTCCCTTTAGGGAACTAATGAGCAGGTTGGTGGCACGCCTCGTTTAATACTATCAGCCCCTTTAGGGAACTAATGAGCAGGTTGGTGGCACACCTCGTTTAATACTATCAGTCCCTTTAGGGAACTAATGAGCAGGTTGGTGGCACACCTCGTTTAATACTATCAGTCCCTTTAGGGAACTAATGAACAGGTTGGTGGCACACCTCGTTTAATACTATCAGCCCCTTTAGGGAACTAATGAGCAGGTTGGTGGCACACCTCGTTTAATACTATCAGTCCCTTTAGGGAACTAATGAGCAGGTTGGTGGCACACCTCGTTTAATACTATCAGCCCCTTTAGGGAACTAATGAGCAGGTTAATGGCACACCTCGTTTAATACTATCAGTCCCTTTAGGGAACTAATGAGCAGGTTAATGGCACACCTCGTTTAATACTATCAGTCCCTTTAGGGAACTAATGAGCAGGTTAATGGCACACCTCGTTTAATACTATCAGTCCCTTTAGGGAACTAATGAGCAGGTTGGTGGCACACCTCGTTTAATACTATCAGTCCCTTTAGGGAACTAATGAGCAGGTTGGTGGCACACCTCGTTTAATACTATCAGTCCCTTTAGGGAACTAATGAGCAGGTTGGTGGCACACCTCGTTTAATACTATCAGCCCCTTTAGGGAACTAATGAGCAGGTTGGTGGCACACCTCGTTTAATACTATCAGTCCCTTTAGGGAACTAATGAGCAGGTTAATGGCACACCTCGTTTAATACTATCAGTCCCTTTAGGGAACTAATGAGCAGGTTAATGGCACACCTCGTTTAATACTATCAGTCCCTTTAGGGAACTAATGAGCAGGTTAATGGCACACCTCGTTTAATACTATCAGTCCCTTTAGGGAACTAATGAGCAGGTTAATGGCACACCTCGTTTAATACTATCAGTCCCTTTAGGGAACTAATGAGCAGGTTAATGGCACGTTAGCACGTTTCCAACAAATATCCTATTTCAAGGACCCGATTAGCAATTTTAGGGAACAAATAACTAATATTATGAAAAAAGTTATAATTTTAGGGAACTCATTTGTCAGGTGAGGAGAAAGGAAAAACATATTTTTAAAAAGGTTCAAATTATATCCAAATGAGTCAAATAAGTAAAAAAATGATTTACTTCAGGGAACTAATTTGTATATTTGAGGGAACATATTATGATTTAGCAAGATGGATAACACCAATCAGTAATACTATGAGTCACTGAAGGGAACAAGTCATAACATATGGAATATCCTTTAAATTAAATGAACCAAATCTACATTTAGGGAACAAACTGTAAATGTAAATAAACCAATGAGTGATTTGTGGGAACAAATGTTTCCTCTGAGGGGGAAATTATACATTTGAGGGAACTAATTAATCATTAGTTGGCACAAGTTATTTAATTTTAGTCAGGCAGTAATATACGGGAACATCTGTCATTCGAGGAGAATAAGATAACAAAAAGTACACATGAATGTAATGGCACAGTTTGGAGGGAACTAACGTCACTTCAGGGAACTAACGTCGCTTCAGGGAACCAAAGTCACTTTAGGGAACCAAAGTCACTTTAGGGAAGTAACATCGTTTCAGGGAACTAAAGTCACCTCAGGGAACTAACGTTGCTTCAGGGAACAAAAGTCACTTTAAGGAACTAAAGTCGCTTTAGGGAACTAACATCACTTTATGGAACTGCAGTCACCTTGGGGAACTAAAGTCGCTTCAGGGAACTAAAATCACTTCAGGGAACTAAAGTCACTTTACGGAACTAAAGTCGCTTCAGGGAACTAAAGTAACTCTAGGGAACTAATGTCGCTTCAGGGAACTAACGTTGCTTCAGGGAACAAAAGTCACTTTAAGGAACTAAAGTCGCTTTAGGGAACTAACGTCACTTTATGGAACTGCAGTCACCTTGGGGAACTAAAGTCGCTTCAGGGAACTAAAATCACTTCAGGGAACTAAAGTCGCTTCAGGGAACTAAAGTAACTCTAGGGAACTAAAGTCGCTTCAGGGAACTAAAGTCGCTTCAGGGAACTAAAGTCACTTTACGGAACTAAAGTCGCCTCAGGGAACTAAAGTCACTTTAGGGAACTAAAGTCACTTTACGGAACTAAAGTCACCTCAGGGAACTAAAGTCGCTTTAGGGAACTAAAGTCACTTTAGGGAACTAAAGTCGCTTCAGGGAACTAAAGTCGCTTCAGGGAACTAACGTCGCTTCAGGGAACTAAAACTGGAGGAGCTTGTGTTAGGAAGTATAAAAGTTGATATTATTCATGCAGAACAGATTTAACTCGTATAGATTTGGCAAACAGGCTTTAAGATGGAAGTTTTTAACACGTTTCTATAATATTGAACCGCTCTGACTCTTCCTCGTCTTCCTCGTCTTCCTCTAACAGCAACAGAGGCCAGTCCAGATCAAGTGTAAATAAGTTAAACCGGATGTTGGCACACACACCTTTACAATAAATAAATAAATAACCACTGTTGGAGCGGCTGCGTGTGATTGGTCGAGCATGGGACGTCCAATCAGAGTGAAGTGTGTGTTATTTGATGTTCTTCAGTAGTGAGGTGCGAGCGTTCACCACGGCCTTGAAGGCGTCTTCGCTGCCGGGGGCAACACATTTATCAGGATGAAGCAACACTGCCAACTTCCTGTACGCCTTGTTCACTTCCTCCCTGGAAACAAGAGGCGGAACCAACGTCACAACCTGGTCACATGACTTCACGTCACCAGCGCTAAGCTAAAGGTGGCTAATGTTAGCTACAAAGTGCTGACTCACCGTGTGGCCCCTGGTTTGACCCCCAGCATGTCCCAGGAATCCTTGCTGTTTCTGATGCGTCTGATGGTGTCCGCCTGCTCTTTAGTGAACCCCACGCTGAGCTCCGTCACCGGACGCTTTCCTCCGTTCTCACACATGTCGGTGATGGAGGAGAAGAACGCCTGCGGGGAATAAATATTTGATTTATATTCACTTTGGAGGTTTTAAAGAGCTGTACAGATAAAGCTGCATTGTAGCCAATTGTATCGTAAAGCATCGTAAACTTTCGTATCGTAAAGTATCGTAATGTATCGTATCGTAAAGTATCGTAATCTATCGTATCGTAATCTATCGTAATCTATCGTATCGTAATGTATCGTAAAGTATCGCTCTATATATATATACAGTTGCAAGAAAAAGTGAACCCTTTGGAATGACCTGGATTTCTGCATAAGTTGGTCATAACATGTGTTCTGATCTCCATCTTAGTCACAACAATAGACACACACAGTCTGCTTAAACTAATACCACACAAACAATGATATGTTTTCATGTTTTCATTGAACACACCATATAAACATTCACAGTGCAGGATGTGAACCCCTAGGCTAAAGACTTCTTCAAGAGCTACTTGGAGTCAGGAGTCAGCCAACCTGGAGTCCAATCAATGAGACGAGATTGGAGGTGTTGGTTAAAGCTGCCCTGCCCTATAAAAAATACACACCCGTTTTGAATTGGCTATTCTTAAGAAGCATTGCCAGATGTGAACCATGCCTCGCACAGAAGAGCTCTCAGAAGACCTAATAATTGTTGACTTGCATAAAGCTGGAAAGGGTTCAAAAGTATCTCTGAAAGCCTTGATGTTCATCAGTCCACGGTAAGACAAAGTGTCTATACATGGAGAGAGTTCAGCACTGTTGCTACTCTCCCTAGGAGTGGCCGTCCTGTAAAGATGACTGCAAGAGCACAGCGCAGGATGCTCCATGAGGTGAAGAAGAATCCTAGAGTGTCAGCTAGAGACTTAAAGAAATCTCTGGCACATGATAACATCTCTGTTGACGAATCTACGATACGTAAAACACTGAACAAGAATGGAGTTCATGGGAGGACACCACGGAGGACACCACGGAGGAAGCCACTGCTGTCCAGAAACACATTGCACCTGGATGTTCCACAGCACTACTGGCAACACATTCTGTGGACAGATGAAACCACCTGGATGTTCCACAGCACTACTGGCAACACATTCTGTGGACGGATGAAACCACCTGGATGTTCCACAGCACTACTGGCAACACATTCTGTGGACAGATGAAACCACCTGGATGTTCCACAGCACTACTGGCAACACATTCTGTGGACAGATGAAACCACCTGGATGTTCCACAGCACTACTGGCAACACATTCTGTGGACGGATGAAACCACCTGGATGTTCCACAGCACTACTGGCAACACATTCTGTGGACAGATGAAACCACCTGGATGTTCCACAGCACTACTGGCAACACATTCTGTGGACAGATGAAACCACCTGGATGTTCCACAGCACTACTGGCAACACATTCTGTGGACAGATGAAACCACCTGGATGTTCCACAGCACTACTGGCAACACATTCTGTGGACAGATGAAACCACCTGGATGTTCCACAGCACTACTGGCAACACATTCTGTGGACAGATGAAACCACCTGGATGTTCCACAGCACTACTGGCAACACATTCTGTGGACAGATGAAACCACCTGGATGTTCCACAGCACTACTGGCAACACATTCTGTGGACAGATGAAACCACCTGGATTTTCCACAGCACTACTGGCAACACATTCTGTGGACAGATGAAACCACCTGGATGTTCCACAGCACTACTGGCAACACATTCTGTGGACGGATGAAACCACCTGGATGTTCCACAGCACTACTGGCAACACATTCTGTGGACGGATGAAACCACCTGGATGTTCCACAGCACTACTGGCAACACATTCTGTGGACGGATGAAACCACCTGGATGTTCCACAGCACTACTGGCAACACATTCTGTGGATGGATGAAACCACCTGGATGTTCCACAGCACTACTGGCAACACATTCTGTGGACAGATGAAACCACCTGGATGTTCCACAGCACTACTGGCAACACATTCTGTGGACAGATGAACCCACCTGGATGTTCTACAGCACTACTGGCAACACATTCTGTGGACAGATGAAACCACCTGGATGTTCCACAGCACTACTGGCAACACATTCTGTGGACAGATGAAACCACCTGGATGTTCTACAGCACTACTGGCAACACATTCTGTGGACAGATGAAACCACCTGGATGTTCCACAGCACTACTGGCAACACATTCTGTGGACAGATGAAACCACCTGGATGTTCCACAGCACTACTGGCAACACATTCTGTGGACAGATGAAACCACCTGGATGTTCTACAGCACTACTGGCAACACATTCTGTGGACAGATGAAACCACCTGGATGTTCCACAGCACTACTGGCAACACATTCTGTGGACAGATGAAACCACCTGGATGTTCCACAGCACTACTGGCAACACATTCTGTGGACAGATGAAACCACCTGGATGTTCTACAGTACTACTGGCAACACATTCTGTGGACGGATGAAACCACCTGGATGTTCCACAGCACTACTGGCAACACATTCTGTGGACGGATGAAACCACCTGGATGTTCCACAGCACTACTGGCAACACATTCTGTGGACAGATGAAACCACCTGGATGTTCTACAGCACTACTGGCAACACATTCTGTGGACAGATGAAACCACCTGGATGTTCCACAGCACTACTGGCAACACATTCTGTGGACAGATGAAAGCACCTGGATGTTCCACAGCACTACTGGCAACACATTCTGTGGACAGATGAACCCACCTGGATGTTCTACAGCACTACTGGCAACACATTCTGTGGACGGATGAAACCAACGCTGAGTTGCTTGGAAGGAACACACAACGCTATGTGTGGAGAATCCAAAGGGTTCACATACTTTTTCTTGCAACTGTATATAATGTATTGTATCGTAAAGCATCGTAAACTTTCGTATCGTAAAGTATCGTATTGTACCGTAAAGTATCGGAATGTATCGTATCGTCATGTATCGCACTATATCGTAAAGTATGGTATCCTCATGTATCGCACTGTATCGTAAAGTATGGTATCGTCATGTATCGCACTGTATCGTAAAGTATCGTATCGCCATGTATCGCACTATATCGTATCGTACCGCAAAGTATCGTATCGTACCGCAAAGTATCGTATCGTACCGCAAAGTATCGGAATGTATGGTATCGTCATGTATCGCACTGTATCGTAAAGTATTGCACTATATCGTAAAGTATCGTAAAGTATCGTATCGTCATGTATCGCACTGTATCGTAAAGTATCGTATCGTCATGTATCGCACTGTATTGTATCGTCATGTATCGCACTGTATCGTAAAGTATCGTATCCTCATGTATCGCACTGTATCGTAAAGTATCGTATCGTAAAGTATCGTATCGTCATGTATCGCACTATATCGTATCCTCATGTATCGCACTGTATCGTAAAGTATCGTATCGTCATGTATCGCACTGTATCGTAAAGTATCGTATCGTCATGTATCGTAAAGTATGGTATCGTCATGTATCGCACTGTATCGGAATGTATCGTATGCATCACCTGGAACATCTCGTTGATCCCCTCGCCGCTCTGCGCTGACGTCTCAAAGTAATGAAACCCTCGAGACTCAGCGAAGAGTCGTCCCTCGCCTTCATCGACCACACGTCTCTTCGTCAGGTCCACCTGTACAAACAGTCATATATTAAATATACCATCAGATACTTCAGTACTTCATTATTCAGAGGCTTCAGGTACCTTATTAGCGCAGACCACGAACACGATGCTGTCCATGTTCGCCTGAGACCCCATTTCCTGTTTCATCTCCCCGAGCCAGCTGTCCAACGCCTCGAAACTCTCCCTCAGACCCACGTCGTACACCAGAAGCACACCCTGGGAGTCCTTATAGAACTCATTACGCACCTGAACACATCACAACACATATATATAACCCTGGGAGTCCTTATAGAACTCATTACGCACCTGAACACATCACAACACATATATATAACCCTGAGAGTCCTTATAGAACTCATGACGCACCTGAACACATCACAACACATATATATAACCCTGAGAGTCCTTATAGAACTCATTAAGCACCTGAACACATCACAACACATATATATAACCCTGGAAGTCCTTATAGAACTCATTACGCACCTGAACACATCACAACACATATATATAACCCTGAGAGTCCTTATAGAACTCATTAAGCACCTGAACACATCACAACACATATATATAACCCTGAGAGTCCTTATAGAACTCATGACGCACCTGAACACATCACAACACATATATATAACCCTGAGAGTCCTTATAGAACTCATTACGCACCTGAACACATCACAACACATAAATATAACCCTGAGAGTCCTTATAGAACTCATGACGCACCTGAACACATCACAACACATACATATAACCCTGAGAGTCTTTATAGAACTCATGACGCACCTGAACACATCACAACACATATATATATAACCCTGAGAGTCCTTATAGAACTCATGACGCACCTGAACACATCACAACACATATATATAACCCTGAGAGTCCTTATAGAACTCATGACGCACCTGAACACATCACAACACATATATATAACCCTGAGAGTCCTTATAGAACTCATGACGCACCTGAACACATCACAACACATATATATAACCCTGAGAGTCCTTATAGAACTCATGACCAAACTATCAAACAAACTATCTCCAACTGAACAGTGCCAAATCAGACATCATCATCATCGGCCCCCCATCCCGTATCAAAGACATCCAGAATTTCAACTTCACCATTGACAGCCACACTCTATCTCCCCCCCTCACATACGCAACCTCGGAGTCATCTTCGAGAGTCAGCTCAAATTCAACCACCACATAAATCACATCACCAGGACCGCCTTTTTCCACCTCAAAAACATTGCCCGTCTCCGTCCATCACTCTCCTCCTCTGCTGCTGAGACCCTGATTCATGCATTCATCACTTCACGACTCGACTACTGCAATAGCATCCTCTACGGCAGACCATCCAACCTCCTCAATAAGCTCCAACACATCCAGAACTCTGCTGCCCGCCTCCTCACCCACACCCGCTCCCGAGACCACATCACTCCCGTCCTCCAGAACCTCCACTGGCTCCCTGTCCGTCAAAGAATCAACTTCAAAGTCCTCCTGAATCCTCACAAAGCCCTCAACAATCAGGCCCCCCCTACCTCACAGACCTGCTGCACCACCACACCCCTTCCCGCTGCCTCCGCTCATCAGAAGCCAACCTCCTATCCATCCCCACCCGCACCAATCACCGGACCTGGGGGGACAGAGCCTTCTCCGTCGCTGCCCCCTCCCTCTGGAACTCACTCCCCCAACCCATCAGAGACTGCACTGACCTCACCACCTTCAAAACACTCACAAAAACTCACCTCTTCAATCTGGCTTTTAATGTGTGATTGTTTTTGTATTATTTGACTTTAACTATATATTTATTTGTTGTTCCTTCCTTTTCTTTTCCCTTCACTATATCTGTAAAGCGTCTTTGAGCACCTGTAAAAGCGCTAACAAATTAAATCTATTATTATTATTATTATTATGACGCACCTGAACACATCACAACACATATATATAACCCTGAGAGTCCTTATAGAACTCATGACGCACCTGAACACATCACAACACATATATATAACCCTGAGAGTCCTTATAGAACTCATGACGCACCTGAACACATCACAACACATATATATAACCCTGAGAGTCCTTATAGAACTCATGACGCACCTGAACACATCACAACACATATATATAACCCTGAGAGTCCTTATAGAACTCATGACGCACCTGAACACATCACAACACATATATATAACCCTGAGAGTCCTTATAGAACTCATGACGCACCTGAACACATCACAACACATATATAACCCTAAGAGTCCTTATAGAACTCATGACGCACCTGAACACATCACAACACATATATATAACCCTGAGAGTCCTTATAGAACTCATGACGCACCTGAACACATCACAACACATATATATATAACCCTGGGAGTCCTTATAGAACTCATGACGCACCTGAAACACATCACAACACATATATATATAACCCTGAGAGTCCTTATAGAACTCATGACGCACCTGAACACATCACAACACATATATATATAACCCTGAGAGTCCTTATAGAACTCATGACGCACCTGAACACATCACAACACATATATATATAACCCTGAGAGTCCTTATAGAACTCATGACGCACCTGAACACATCACAACACATATATATAACCCTGAGAGTCCTTATAGAACTCATGACGCACCTGAACACATCACAACACATATATATAACCCTGAGAGTCCTTATAGAACTCATGACGCACCTGAACACATCACAACACATATATATATAACCCTGGGAGTCCTTATAGAACTCATGACGCACCTGAACACATCACAACACATATATATATAACCCTGAGAGTCCTTATAGAACTCATGATGCACCTGAACACATCACAACACATATATATATAACCCTGAGAGTCCTTATAGAACTCATGACGCACCTGAACACATCACAACACATATATATATAACCCTGAGAGTCCTTATAGAACTCATTAAGCACCTGAACACATCACAACACATATATATATAACCCTGAGAGTCCTTATAGAACTCATTAAGCACCTGAACACATCACAACACATATATATATAACCCTGAGAGTCCTTATAGAACTCATTACGCACCTGAACACATCACAACACATATATATAACCCTGAGAGTCCTTATAGAACTCATGACGCACCTGAACACATCACAACACATATATATAACCCTGAGAGTCCTTACAGAACTCATGACGCACCTGAACACATATATATAACCCTGAGAGTCCTTACAGAACTCATGACGCACCTGAACACATCACAACACATATATATAACCCTGAGAGTCCTTACAGAACTCATGACGCACCTGAACACATCACAACACATATATATAACCCTGAGAGTCCTTATAGAACTCATGATGCACCTGAACACATCATAACACATATATATATAACCCTGAGAGTCCTTATAGAACTCATGACGCACCTGAACACATCACAACACATATATATAACCCTGAGAGTCCTTATAGAACTCATGACGCACCTGAACACATCACAACACATATATATAACCCTGAGAGTCCTTACAGAACTCATGACGCACCTGAACACATCACAACACATATATATAACCCTGAGAGTCCTTATAGAACTCATGATGCACCTGAACACATCACAACACATATATATATAACCCTGAGAGTCCTTATAGAACTCATGACGCACCTGAACACATCACAACACATATATATAACCCTGAGAGTCCTTATAGAACTCATGACGCACCTGAACACATCACAACACATATATATAACCCTGAGAGTCCTTATAGAACTCATGACGCACCTGAACACATCACAACACATATATATAACCCTGAGAGTCCTTATAGAACTCATTACGCACCTGAACACATCACAACACATATATATAACCCTGAGAGTCCTTATAGAACTCATGACGCACCTGAACACATCACAACACATATATATAACCCTGAGAGTCCTTATAGAACTCATGATGCACCTGAACACATCACAACACATATAATAACAATATTTAAAATATGGGTCCAGCACCACCTGCTGGAAAGGTTTCCAACATTACAACAGTAGGAATATATTTATTATTCGGTAAGAAAATATGGAAAATATAAACAAAAAAATATAGAATAATAACAACAATTATTGAATAAATAAAGAGACAAAGATATCACATAAAATAACAAAATGTTGTGAAAAACACAAATATAAAAACGAAAAGTTATAAATACTTAACATATTTTTTTAAATATGAATTGACTCACTTCGTAGAAGAAGGGATGTCCGGCCATGTCGAAGATGTTCACCTTGATTTCTCTGTCGCGGACCTGAACTCTGACAGAACATATTATAACATTAATGAAGTTTTAAAGCCAGAATAAAACATGAGACACATACAATAAATAAATATATATAAGGACTTACTTTGTGACGCCATAGTCGATGCCGATGGTCGCCAGATATTTAGGAACAAACCTCTTCTCACAATAACGTTTAATAATGCAGCTCTGAAAGAAAATCAGGTTTAATTTCAAACCAAACTCCTTCCAGAAAAACACTCATTTAAAGGCTGGGTTTCTGAATGAAGATTAAATACACAAGTTGTATGTATTATAGGGTAACATGTATGCCGAATATTAGTGTATATTGTCCTTATTATAAGAAACATGGTTAAAATGATATAACTAAATGTATAAAAGCGTAATTAAGTTTATTAGGCACACAATTATTGACGTTTATGCAGATTTTTACAGAAAATGGGAGTTTATTTAAAGGTTTTATGCTCAAATAAATTACTATAACCACGCTTTAATGACTATTTCGGATTCAATGTGATCTCCTGGTGAATTCGGCATCAATAATAAACAAACATCAGATTTAATTTATTATAAAAACATGTTTTATCTGGATGATTTGCCTGGTTGCTAGGCAGAAAGCTGCCTGGTTGCTAGGCAGAATCTCACAGCTGCTTAACCAAAACAGCACGAGGAAGGTTACAAATAAAACTGATTATTACATATTTAAGAGTTTATTTATACGCCGATTTTAAGAGAAGATTTCAGTCTTTGTGAAAACATGTTTGTTGTTGTTGTTGTTGTTGTTGTTGTTGTTGTTGTGTGTTTTAATTATCAGTAAATAAGAAAGGGACGTGTGCAGCTCTTCACACCAAACTCCATTCAGAAATCTACCGATTTAAGGGCAGGGTTTCTGAAGGAAGAAACATGATTAAATATATTAATATTAGTTATTATAATGTAATATGTATGCCGAATTTATGTGAATATTGTCCTTATTATATAAAACATGTTTAAAAGGATTGTAATCAAGGAAAAAAAGCTTAATTCGGTAGCTTTAGTCACAATAATTGTAGGGAAATCCGGGTGATTTTTACAGTCAATGATAGGTTGTATGCATCATTACAGAGAAACCAGGAGATAAATAAACGGTATTTATTCAATGTAAAGCCTTTCAAATGTTGCTTTTAATAAACATGTAGTTATCTTGCTCTAAAACATGATAATTAGAGGAGGATCTGATGTTAAATCCTGAGTTTTCTGACCGTATTTTGGTGTAAAAGAGATGTATTCCTCACCTTCCCGACCTCCGCGTTGCCCAGACTGATGACTTTCACCCGCAGAGACTTCTTGCTCTCCCGCCTCTTCGGAGCCGAGCTCTCCATGTTGTTATTAATGGCTTTTATTTCACAATTCAGCTTAAAAACTGCTGTTGTTGCTGTTAGCACGCAGAGCTAAAGCTAGCCGCTCTGGAGCTAACACACGACTTCCGCTCATTACTTTCAAAATAAAATCTGCAATGAAAACACTATTTTTCGCATAAACATTATAAATGAATACAGTAAAAATGATTCCTCATAGAGGCTCCCTAATGACGTCACGGCATTTCGCGTGACGTCATTAGTAAGCCTCTATAGCAAAAGGGTTCAAAAGTAGTAGAATATTGAACCCTTGATATAAACTATTAGCAAACAGAGCTAAAGCTAGCCGCTTAAAAGCTACAACATCCGCTCAGGATTTTCAAAATAAAACCAGCAAAACAATGTGGAAGAATCCTCATAAAGAGAGGGTTTAAAAAAGAGTCAATAATAGCCTTGAAATCCCTTTTCATATAAATATAAATATAAATAACACCTTTATAGAAGTATTTCAAGGACTTTCATCTATTATTAAATAAATACAACAATATCTGATAGATCGGATTTATTGAGACTTTT